TAATTTAATCAGCCATTTTTCTTTAGTGGGGATTCTGTTTGTTTTCCAGTATTGTGCATATTGGATTCTTGTAGATGTAAACATACACAATAGTTTTCTGGAGTGAGTTTTTTTGATGTTTTTGTCTAATTTATCATATTTAGGAGAATGGCTCTTGGGTCGAGTTTTATTTTTACCATAAGTGTTTCATTTATGATATTTACTATCATTGTCCAATAACGTTTAGCTTCCTGACAACGCCACCACTAAGTTCCTAGCAATTTTAAGTTCAGTTAAACATGTACAAAACATTCTGAGCCATGTTCCAAAACATCTTGACCTATGCTGTTCAGAACACTAAAGTTGAGATATAAAGAACAAGTGTGACATGCAGAGTTTGGAGATACAGGTAGTGTATGTTCCTTATTGGGGAGTTTGCATTTATATGTCATAGCTCCCTGCTGATCAATTGCTGCCATTATATGTTTTTGTAAGAAGCCTATATGAAGTTGGTTTAATTGCTTGTTCAAGGCAGAAGTGTAGACTACCAAGCCAGTGTCTAGCCAGCACTATATCATTATATAAACAACTGAGTTCCATCTACTCTCAGATTCCATGAACTTCAAGGGTTTTTTAAAAAATCCTCTTTAATGTAGTCCAAAAGTAAGTAAAACCAATACCTCTACAGACTTTTAGAAATACACCCAACAGATTGCTAAAAATCACACTTAAATATGGAGATCACTCATGTAACTATAAAAGTAACAACGGGCCTTTACAGACTGCCAGAAATAATGCAGCTTGAGTCCACATTAACTGTCCTGGCTCAGTGCTAGGTAATCATGGGAATTATATATATATATATATTTTCTGAGACATTGAACCTTCTCTGTTAGAGAGCTCTGGTGCCACAATAAACTACAATTTCCCTGATTCCTCAGCACTGAGCCAGGACAGTTAAAGTGGCCTCAAGCTGCATTATTTCTGGCAGTCTCTAAAGGCCCAAAGACAGCTAAAGTTAACACTACAAATGTTATCCATCATTACATTACATTTGCAATGTAACTTTGGGCCCAAACAAACTGCAGAAATAATCCCATTTGAAACTGTGTTAACTGCCCTGGCTCAATGCTAGGGAATTCTGGGAACTGTAGTTCTATGAGACATTGAGCCTTCTCTGTCAGAGAGCTCTGGTGCCACAATAAATGACAATTCCCAGCATTCCCTAGCACTGGGTCAGGGCAGTTAAAGCTGTCTCAAGATGGATTATTTCTTCAGTCTGTTTTGGCCCTTTGTTGTTGTGTGCCTTCCAGTCATTTCTGACTTATGGTGACTCTCAGGCAAACCTATCGTAGGGTTTTTGTCACAAGATGTGTTCAGAGGGGTTTGTCATTGCTGTCCTCTGAGGCTGAGAGTGTGTGATTTGCCCAGGGTCACCCCAGTGGGTTTACATGCACTGGGATTTGAACCCTGGTCTCCAGAGTCATAGTCCAATGCTCACACCACTAGGCCACGCTGGCCCCTGTCACTTACTTATGCCTTGATTACTGCAAAAAGGAGTTAGAAGTTATTAGTTATTGGTAATTATTTACTTCTGTTGTCTGAGCTTGGAAACGTTATGCAATTGGCTGCAATGAGTCTTGGTGGTCAACCACAGTTCCTTTTAGTGTGTCAAGATGGGCAGCACCTAGCAGATGCCAGCGCAGGTTCAAGAGAAAAACAAAAAGTGGGCGCGCTGGAACAAAATATTGGATGCAGCAATTCGGAACAGGAAAGCAAAACACTGTGCTTCACTGCAACCCTATGTGAACTCTGTCATGAAAGTTTACTAGGTAAGTAAACATCATCACTTTCTGAATAATGTTCTCATACTCACTAAGCATTTACCACTTTAATCCCACCACTTGAAAAAGGGATTAACATTATGCAATGGGGTGAAGTCTGAAGTCGTGATTGAGGTTCCTGTGGTGAGACTGGCTGAGGCTTCATTCCCACTAGCTCTGACTTAAAGCCTAGTTCAGTTTTCAGCTGTGTTGAAACTAGTCTGGAGTAGTTGGGCCACTAGGTCTGCATGCTCTAACTTGAGATTGAGGAGCTGCCTGCCTAGTTATACTTTAGGGTTGTTACCTGACCTTCACCACTCTCACAGTTTGCAGACTTGGGAGGCATCCTCACTGCAGAAATAATCCAGTTTGAGACAGCTTTAGTTGCCACAGCTCCATGCTGTGGAATTCTGGGAATTTGAGTTTTTTGTGGCCCCAGAGCATGGAACCATGGTGGTTAAAGCTATCTCAAAACAGATTATTTCTGCCGTGCAGATGCAGCCTTGGTGAGAGTAACAGCACATTACATTGGTATAGAGCAGGGGCTGGCAACCTATGGCCCGCAGGCCGGTTCCGGCCCAGGTCCCTGTACTTACCGGCCCAGGCGGACCCCCGCCACCGCCGCGCGTTTTGGCCGCTGTGTGGCCGTGCACGCCATGGCCACCATGATTGATTTCCAAAATGGCGGCCGCGTTCACGCATGTGCAGGAGGAGAGGACTTCGGGGGACCGGCCCCCGGCTCAAAAAGGTTGCCTACCCCTGGTATAGAGGGAACCTGTTCAACTTTACAGAAGTCCAGCACTATAAGGTCATCAGAGGTCTGGATTAACATAACCCTTTACCTTCCTAGCCTTACTGTTTAAGGGTTTTGAGTTGTACCTTCTACAGAGGCCTTTAGGAAAGCATTCCTTTCAGCTGGGCAAACCAGTTATCTGTATAGTTGCCTCAGTCTTCGCTCACACAACCTATGGATCTGTTCTTAGGTCCAGCTGGTTCCCAGCTGACAGTTGTGTCGCTCCCTTGCTCACAGTACTCTTCCACCATGTTGACAGGCAGTTCCTTTAATAGTTCCTTTAAAGTTTAAAGTCCAAACTTTAAAGGAACTATTCATGGGGCTGATCTCTAGCCCCCAGATAAATTCAGCACCTTGCATAGCCATCAATTTTCTTACATTCCCATTTTTCTGTTTTTACTGCTGCTCTGCATCTTCTGTCACCCCCACTTCCTTCTCTGCAGAGCCTGGAAGTAAAAAATTCCAACCACACATGACTTTATTTGTGGTAATGTGGCCATGATGAAATTCAGACCCAAAAGTAACACTAAGTAACAGGACTGAAGCTACTTCATTGGCATAAAAAATAATGGTTTTCTTATTACAGGTATACCTCTGTTAACAAAATAGAGGTATACCTGTAATAACAAAATAGATGTGTTCCTGGATATGACATCTTTAATATAAACTTCGGTACCAGAGCCAGAAACAACATGGAAAGAATAGGGGGAGGTTCTTGCATCAAAATTAAAAGAGCAGTTCAACATGTTTCTACAAAGTTTTTATTCAAAATTAACATTATGCACATGTGAAATGAAATGACCAGCTCAGGTAAGCCTTGCATAAGCCAACAAAAACATTTTGAATCTTTTGGAGACTGCTTGAAAGCTTCTTCCAAAATGCATCGTGGGATGATTTTTTTCTTTCTTTCATCAGCCTCCACTTTTCTTACAATTTCCATTTTGCTGAAAAAACTTATAGATCTGTGCTTTTTCAACATGACCTGAAGCTGCTGAAGCAGATTAATCTGCTTTCCTTTTTTCTTTCTGTTTTGCTCTTCACACATTCTCAGCTAGTGATTCTGGAGGTAGCTGTTTACCTTGGAGATTACTACACACCGCTTTTAAGCTGCAAATAGACCAGGAAAAAAAAAGATGGCTTTGGCAATTCTTATTGCACGATGCCGCATCTGATCCACAGCTGCTGCTTCCCTTTTCATTAACAGGGGAAACCCATCAATGAGCTCCCAATCACACAAGTCCCCAAGTGCAAAATGTCACTGTGGGGGCAGTTGTGATATTGGCAGTCATGTGGTGTCAATGCCTCCTCCTCTCCCCCTGTTCCTCCTCCCCACTGACTGTTTCCAAGCAGCTTGAGTCCTTTTAATT